CTGGGTGGAGGACAGAGGGGAAGGATGATTCTGGGGACAGAGGCAGAGTGGGGGCAGGTGGCTATCTCTGGGGGCACAAGCAGTGTTGGCTGGTTTTATGGTGGTGACGGCAGAGAAGGGGGCGGATCTATGGCTTGTTTAGGAGGCCCAACCAGAAAGCCTGGGGACACAGGGTGGGACAGTGTTGGTGCCAACCAGGGCTGGACATTCCCTTCATGGAGGTCCACTTGGGAGGCCCACCCCGCCGTCCCGTGAGGCCCTTCAGCTGTGCCAGGGCTATTGCTCTGCCTCATCCCGGGGCGGCCCCTCATCTCTGTGTAAAGGCAGCTCCTGTGGGCATCACGGAGACCGTTCAGAGAACAGGTAGCTGAAGCCCCAGCTCCGCCGTAGGAAGCGCCACACTGAAATGGGGAGAGCAAGGTGGTGCTCATTCATTCACTTATTCACTCACTTGTGCACAGGCTCTGTCGAGATTGGCAGGTCTGGGCTAGGGGCAGCGGTGGGCGACCACCCACCCACGGGGGCTCGCGTGTCTGGCATGAGGAGGATGTGCCTTTCAGAAATCATACTCTTGCAGTTATTTAAAAACAATCTGAATGACAACAACTTACAAGGGAAAAATCATCCATAATCCGTGCTGTAACAACCTGTGTTTGTTGTTTAGTGTTTCCTCCTAGTACTTCTCTCTCCCTGTGTGTGTGCACACACACTTACCCATTTACATACGCACATATGTACGTATATTTATCCACATACCTATATTCTCTTTTTGTATATATTCTGTACATATACACTCTGTATACCTTCTCTCTTTATACATACACATACTCTATGTACGTATGTGTGCATACATAGACATGGGTAAGTAGAAATATATAAATATGTAAGTAAATACATTTAATTTAAATTAATACTCATCTGTTTCCCTACCAGGCTTGTACTCAGCATTTCTAGTATCTGGATAATATCCCAGTCTGCAGATATAACACTATTTCTCAAAATATTCCCTGAATAGTCTGCAAGTGTCTGCCGACCAGCCCCGCACTGGCCCTGGTCAGCCTGGTCTCTGCACTGTCTCCAACACAGCCTGCCCTTGGCACGTACGGTCTGGAGGGGACAGGCAGTGAGCGAGTAACTAGACAAAAGACAGTCACAACAGGAGTGCGGGCTGAGGGACGGAGAGGCGGGTGTGCACAAGAATGAGGGGCTTCCGTGGGACAGGGGTGCAGCTGTGTCCTCATCACACACAGGAACGGGCTTCCTCTGGTCGGTATGTCTCTGCCAGGGGGCTGAGGCCCTCTGGCTGGGCTGTGTGGGGCACATCACGTGGACTCGCCTGTTATCAGGCAGCTTTGAGCTGGTTTGCGGGTGGGCGGCTGAAGGAAATTCTGCAGGTGGAGCAGAGTGGTCTGTCCCTGCAGCCCCTGTGAGACCCCTCCCAGAGGGGCTTTCAGAGCCCTGTGAAAATCGGCAGAGGCATGGCCCTCAAAACTGTCTTTAAAGCACAGGGTTCACTGCTGGGTGACTCCAGAGTTCCTGCCCAGGGTGCATGTCTGAGGCGTGAGTTCCGTCCAGTTCCGGTTACAGGCAGGAGCTCCAGCCCTGCTTTGCTATCTTGAGTTTAACTGTGTCCAGAAATACTGCCCTTTTCTGAGCCCACTGGGCATGTCCACAGGCACCAGGCTCTTCACCCACTGGTGAGCCATGTCTCTGACCCTGAACCAGTGTGGCCCACTCAGTCCGCCAAACAGGACCAGGCACCTCAGGGCAGGACTGGCTGCAGGGCCCGGTCCAAAATGAAACTCAGACCCCTTGCCCATAAATTGTTAATAATTTCAAAACAGTGACAACTGAGCTTCCAACCAAGTGCTGGCCCGTCTACAGGCCTCTGCTGACTCTTTGGATTGGAAGAGCTGATGTTGGTATTCTGGCCCTGTTGTGTCCTCACTAAAGAAAAAAAGTGCTCAGGGCACTTGATAACAACGGTAAGGGACTTTTCAAGGGGACCGCAGCAGCAGGGCAGAGGGCTCGAGCTCAAGTCCGAGCACAGTCCCAAACGTGGGGTTTAAGGCCAAGGAGCAGGTGGGGCACCTCACGGTGGATGGAGGAGAAGAAACACGGAGGTGGGGGCACTGGGGCCAAAGCCCCCACCAGGGCTCCTACGGAGGGCGGCCCTCAGCACCTCAGAGCGGGACGGCACTTGGACACAGGCTCCTACAGAGGTGCTTCGGTTCAAACTCGGCCACGAGGGCAGGTCCTAACCCAATCTGCCCGGGGCCTGTGAGTCGAGGGGATGAGGACCAGGCAGAGGGCCCAGCAAGTGAGGACATGGAGTCCTCGGGAGGGGCCTCGGGAGGGGCGTCCGGCCCCCAGGACTGAGTGTCTGCCCTCTGAGCCACGCCGCGGGAAACCCGTGTGGCGGGCGCTGGGGCAGAAGGGCCGGCTCAGTCCCGCGTGCACCTGCTCGCTTGCTTGGCAGCCACACGCTTCAGGCTGTTACAGAGACAGACACTGTTCCCATGCTGGGAGCAAGACAAACTTCCAAACCCACAGACAGACGGACGAGAGCAAGCGGACGCGCCACAGCGGGCGGGATGTCCGCAGAGCACGGTGGCGCCGGCTGCAGAGCCGCAGGGCCCGCCTGTATCCCTGTCTGAGATGCCAGAGGCACACGACGGCCACACGCATGCAGGCTCACCGCCAGGAGTGAGTCCCTGAAGACGTGGGCACACAAGCCCCGTCCTGGCCTCCTCCGTCCCTGCCCTGCCGCTGGGGGCGGGGGCGGGGGTCCTTCTGCATCTCCGGCACGCACACCACAGACAGGACTGGCGGATTCTCAAGGATGGAAGGGCCGCCCGGCAGAGGCGCCCACAAAGCTGTGTGGCCCACGGTGTGGTCGGGTGAGGGGGGCTCGGGGCCTCGGGGGCTCAAGTCCCCAGGAGGAGATGAGCCAGGGTGGGCCACCAGCGGGAGCCCTGAGCCCCCAGAGGGCCTCCGTGGACCCGTCTATAGAGGGATTCTGATGGGGTTGGGGCCTCCAGGCCCTGGAGCCCCCAGGGGTCGACCCAGTGGTGCCAGGGCTGCGCTGGGCTGAGAGGCAGGCCAGCGCATGTCTGTGCACAGTGACACAGGGATTCGCGGTCTGGGTGCATTCGTGGGGAAGGGGGCAATGTGGACACATTTGGGCAACATGGGTTCGCCCTGTCAGCTCCCCGACACAACCCCTGCCCCACCACGGCCACCACATTGGCTGGCTGCTCAAGGTCCGGCCCCACTCCATCCCGTAAGTGAGGGCTGGGGGCCGGGACAGGTGGGCTTGGGGCCCAGCGGCGCTCCATCTGTGGGGAGGAGAGGGCCCTCGGGAAGCGGGGGGCTGTGAGTAAGGGAGGGGTCCCCCTCTGTGCCCCTCCCCCCCCACTCTGCACGAGTGAGCCTGGGCCTGCTCCTCGTAGGCACTCCCTCCCAAAGCCTGTCTCAGTCTGTCTCAGCTCAGAAAAGCCATCCCCCCTCTGAGCTGCATCCACGTGGCGGGCGCCCCTCCTGGCCTTCCTGTCTGTCTGTCCCACTGCTGCCCACATGGCCTGGCCGGGCCAGCTGTCTGCCTGCTCCCAAAACAGCAATGTCCACCTCGGTGCAACTCACCCAAGGACCCTGGGACTCTGACCCCAACCCCGGGGCGTTGGTTTGGCCTCCCCTGCCCTGCCCCGCCCTAAAGCACCACTGTCCTAGGTGGGCCCGCCCTCCCTGCCCCATTCCCAAGGGGCTGCCTAGAAGCCCGTGTGTGGACCAGGGGGCCCTGGAGGTATCCAGAGGGGTGGGGTGAGCCAGCCAGACCTCAGGAGTCCTGTTCCTGACGTTGCTCCCTGCCTGGGCTGCCCGGGGTGGGGATGCAAGCCGCCGTCCAAGTCAGCACACGTGTCCCGGCCCTGCTGCCCACACACAGCAAGGCCTCTGGCCACTCCCTCCCTCCACATCCGGGCATAGTCCACCGCAGGGTCCCTGCGGCGGGGGGGTGCTTCTGGCTGCCCTGACGTCTCCTTCCACTGCAACTGACCCCGCAGCTGTGCCCTAGACAGGAGTCCTGGGGCCCGGGACCCCCAGCCGTGGGCCAGCATCTGCCCGGGAGGAAAGTAAGGGGTGGCGCTGTCCGTGCAGAGGCCCCCTGCTCTGACCACCTGACCTGGTGTCTGTCCCCACACCTGCCATCTCCACCTCCACCCCCAGCACCCTCCCGCCCCAGCCCCGGCCCTGCTTCATGCCTCACAGTGGTCACCTGCCTCTTGCGCGCACGATCTGTCCCTCCTGCTGGAATACCCCTCTCGGCCCCCCGTGCCTGGACAAATATGCACGATAGGGAAGATCACGTTTTGGATAAATGTCTGACTGAACAAGGAGGTGGCGCTGGGGCAGATGTGTGGGATGTGGAGCACGGAGGGAAGGAAGCTCTCAGCCCTGGAGGCTCTGGCGGGGGGTGACGGAGGCGGTGGGGGCACAGGGGGCAGCAGAGGTGGGCGGGCCCAGACCGCAGGCTCGGATCTCACTGGGGGCGGAGGGGAGCCAGCCGAGAAAGGAGCGCGCCGTCCACTTCTCGGGGCCATTCCTGCGCGTGGGCCTCTCCCTTCCCACCAGCATGGCCTACACTTCGGGCACCGGAGATGCAGGGACCCACACCCCACTGGAGAGCATGTCAAACCCCCACAGGAGTGGCTTTTATTTGAGTACATGCAATGCCTCGTGTGTCCACGAAGACAAGCCCGCGACAAGCCGAGCGTGGACAACACGGGGACCTTTCTGTTTTTCTCGGTCCTAACCTGGCTTCCAGGGGTGGGGAGTGTGTCCTGCTGGTCCTTCTCAGAGCAGGCCACCATGAGCACAGGTGGGACCTCACTGGCATCTGTTGATTTTCGGAGATGGGAGAGGGGGTCCGCTCCCAGCTGAGGCCGCGTCTCCGGGGGCCTCCCCTCCCCCAGTGCTGCCCCGCAGACCCTGGCCATCCTGGATCAGGAGGGGAAGGTGGGCGCCTCAGCCAGCGGGCGGGACATGCTCTGGATGGCCCACTGCAGGATGCCGTCAAAGGAGTGCTGCAAAAGACAGCAAAGCAGAGGCCTCGGGGACCCGCCAGAGCCCCGGGGGACAGATGTGTCTACCCTGGCCTCCAGCGTCACCCTCCTATTCAGAGGTAGGGAAACTGAGGCCCGAGGCACCACAAGACATGTCAGTCGAGGGAGGACTCCTCATCCAGTGCTCCGTCTCGGCAGCCTGTAAGCACAGGGCGTGGCCACTGCGGCTGTTTTGCCTCCTCCTCCTTCTGGGGCTCTCTCCCTCACTGTGCTCAGGGGCCTGACGCTCCCACAGGATGGAGGGGTCATGAGAAGGCCCAATATTCCAGCAGAATGGGGTGACCACACCAGGAGGGGCTGGTGAGTCTGCCCCTCTCTCCAGCGGTCTCAGGCGGCCGCCCCAGCCAGAGATATGGAGTCTGGGCTCCCCCACAAAGACACTTGCACTGTGTGGGACCCCCCTGTGCCCAGCCCACCGCACAGGGCAGGGCCCCATGTCCCAAGGAGGACACATGTGGGCTGCCTGGCTCTGGGTATGGCTGGAGGAGTCTGACCTCCGGTCAAAAGAAGGCGGAATCCCTAAAAGCCCCATTTTCGTCCCAGCGACTGTAGCTGTTCATCTTAGGGCAGAGAGGCCTGGGTTGATAGGGGGCCGTGAGAGGCCCACTGAAGGTGGTCCACTGAGAGGTTCCAGGGTGCCCGCCCCACCCCTCGGGGACATCAGGCTTCCGCAGTGCTGGTGCTGAGGTTCTGCAGCCCATGGCCCCAGGGGATTTAGGACCTCTGGACAGGGCTAGACGCAGGAAGGGCTCAGGGCCCCCTTTGGGCTCCTTTGTGTGCTCGGGGCTCCTGCATGTGCGGGGAGGGGCCAGCATGGGCCTGTGGTACTCAGCGCACCCAGAGACAGGGGATCTCCCAGCCGCCCCAAGGTTTGGGTGCCGGCTGCTCTGGAGGCCAGCCTGGAGGACGAGGGGCTGGTGGAAGGCCAGCCTGGAGGCCAGCCTGGAGGAGGACGGGCTGGTAGAAGGCCTGCGGGGTGATGCATTACCTCGCTTAGGAGGGACTCCAGGTCATCCCTGTGCAGAACCGGCTCGTGACCAGCAGAACCGTCTCCTGCCTGGAGCCCAGGAAAGGGAGGTCAGCCTGACTTCCGCACCCCTGCTAGGGACGGCCAAAACAAAGCAGGACTCCCTGCAGAGGCCACAGGGGCCTGGGGGCACAGGCTCATGCCCGGGCAGTGGCGGTGCTGCCCCGCACAGGGCCCCAGGATCTGAATTCTAACACCCGGCTCCTCCCAGGGTGGTGGGCGCAGGCAGGGTGGGCATGAGCGAGCTTCGGGGCTGCCGGCCAGGGTCCTGGCGCAGCTGGAAGCTGGTTTCCCGAGGCCCCCGGGGGCTGCCGGCCTCTGCATGCTACACGCCTCCTTCTGGAGAAGGCCAGGCAACTTAAGAGAACCAGCTAGCAGGGACCCTGTCATGGACGGGGAAACTGAGGTCCGATGCCAGCCATTCAACCATCCACCAAAGGCTGCCAGGGCCCACGGTGCCCCTGGGCAAGGGGCCAGGGCAGGGAGTGAACCACACAGGATACTGCCAGTTCCTGGCTCAAAACAGCCAAGCCTCAGCTCATCAACACCGGCCCGGGGGCAGCAGCAGCTCCAGGGCGGGAAGGAGGAGCACAGCCTCCAGGGTGTGCAGGGGCCCCGGGGGCAGGTCCAGGGCCACACCCACATTCTTGAGTCTGCCCCTGGGGAAGGTGGGGCTAGGGGAGGGACCAAGGGGGCTGGGACAAGTCACTCTCCAAGGTCATTACATTTTACATCACAAGGACAAGGTCTTTTTAAAAGCAAAGACCCCAGGTGTCGATGAGGCATCTTTTGGAGGGCAGGACCCCCTCCTGGCGGGGGACAGGGGTGCCCCGGAGAGGGCTTGCGCACACTCAGTGCAGATGGGTGGGGATGATGGGAGGCCTCCAGGCCGATCTGCACACTGCACGCAGGCGGATATGGGCCAGGCCACGGGGTTGCACCGAGCCCCCTTGTGGACGGGGCCTCAGCCCCCCAGTGCCTGGGCCGGCCTGGTACCCACGCAGCGTTTTCGGGGGGAGTACGCGGTGTGGCTGGGAAGGAGGGTGGGCCACAGATGGGGGTAGGACTTATCACCTCCCCCAGGGCCCTCAGGGGTTGTCCTGGGGGCAGGGACATGGTCAGGAGGGCCCGTGCTGTGGGAGGCAGGGTGAGATGTACCACCGCGAGGCTCCTGAAGGAGCACCCAGGACTCCCGCCCCCCAGGTTCCCAGGACCACTGCGGCTCAGCAGGAAGGCAGAGGAATGACCACAGACAGCTTGCTCTCCCCAAGGCTCCGGCTGGCTGCAGGATGGGGCCGGGGAGGGTGCCCAGCCCGCCACTGCTGGAGGTCTAGGAGCCCAGTACAGAGCCGGGTCACACTGGGCAGTCCAGTATGCTTGCTCACCCCAGGTGTGGGGTCTCCTTGCTGCTTCCGCCTCACCCCTACCCCACCGGGGATATGTGACCCCAGGGGCTGGGAGAGGGGGGACTTGGGGCTGGGCTCGGTCATCGTGAAACAGGTGCATCCAACTGGCATCTCATTCCACTATTGCTTAGTGGGTTTCCCTTTCAAACAGATGTTATCAAAAAGGAGTCTATTTGAACAACTGTATTGTATAAACAACGAACAAGGGGTTCACTGGTGCACACCCGCGAAGCTGGCGCCTGGAGTGGACCTGGAGGTGTGCTGGCCCCCCAACCCCGCGGGGTCCGCGCCTCCCCGGGTAGCACTGACCTTGGCAGGCCCCGGAGCAGCGCGGGCGGGGTTCGGGGAGGGCGCCCCCTCCTCGGGGGCCAGGGCGGCATCTCCGGAGCAGGATCGGCAGTGCGGGACCGCCCTGCGCACAGCGGACGAGGGTGTCGGTGTGTGTCGGCGGGGGGGGGGGGGGGGGGGGGGGGCGCCCCCCCCGGGCCCCCCCCCGGGCCCCCTCCCCGGCCCGGCGCCCCAGCCGCCGCACTCACCCTGGCCGGGCGGTGCCCCCGGGAAAGTGGCAGCGCCAGTGGAAGGCGGCGGCGCAGTGCGCGCACCGCAGCGCGTCCGTACCGTCCCCGCACACGCCGCACCGCGCGGCCGCCGGGCCCTGGCGGGGAGCAGAGCCGTGGCTGCGGCGGGGAGAGGCGCGCACCCCGGCCCCTGGGAGCTCAGGGACACCTGGCACCTTTGGACTGCAGCCCTGAGAGACCTCGCTCCCCCTTGGTGGGCCCGGACCCCCTTTAGAGTTGGTCAAGGGGACCCCAGAACCGCGCCCCCAGGAGAGGCGGGAGTGTGGGGGATGGGCTATCCCCCCTTATTGTGGTGCCTGGGGGGGAGGGGTTTCAGGATCAGGTGGCAAGTTTGCTTCCCCTGCCCCAGCTCTTCGCAGCGCTCTGCCCTTGTTCTGGGCGCGCTCCTCCCAGCACCCAGCCCCTGGGCCACCCTCTCCATGGCCAGTCTGGCTGCTCTTGGCAAAGGCCTCCCTCAGCCCTGACCCCAACCCCCCATCTGACTACTGCCCCCTGTCCCCCTGCACGTCAGAGCTCCATCTCCGCAGACCCTGAGCCCCCCCAACAGACAGCCACCCCAACTCCCGCAGCCCTCACCTGCTGCCCCTCAGGGCCCACACACAGCAGGGGGCGCAGGGCTGAGGGGTCCAGCACCGGCAAGGGGTTTGCCGAAGGTGGGGCCAGCAGGTGCTTGTAGGGGACAGCAGCGTCTATCCCAGCGGGGGGCTCCCTGGACAGTCCCTTCGCCTCTTCTCCTGCCAACCTCAGTCCCAGAAGGACCTGGAACCAGAGGGTCAGTGCTTGGAGAGGCCACAGGGGACCTACACGGCACCACCCAGGGAGTCAGTGATCGCCGAGACCCTGGCAACCCCAGAGGCTGGTGTGGGGGGAACCCCACACTGGGTTGGAAAGGTCTGGGTACAGTTCCTGGCTCAGCAAGGTCCTTGAGACTTTCCCCACTTAAGACTGGGTGTCTGTGGCCCTCACAGGCTGTCAGTGATCACTCAATATATACCTGGGCACGGGTTGTACCACTCATGTCTTTGCTGCAACGGAATGCTTAAAACATTTTTAGAGAATGTTCTCAGTAGCCAAAGTGCATCCCCTGTGCTGGACCGACAGAGCTGAGGCCCCGAGTCAGCCCTGAGAAACGGGGCCATTGTAAAGGCCACTTCCCAGTGTGGAAAGCCAAGCTGGTGAGGCCAGGCCAGGGTTGGGGGTGCACGGTTCTAGGGCTGGGGCCGGTCTGACCTACAGGAGCAGCCAGGATGCTGGACAGAGGGCCCTGCAGGGGACCTGTGCATACCGGGGTCTCCACAGGTGGCTCCTGGGGCCGGGGCTCCTCGGCCCGGGGCAGGTCCCGCTGGGCTCTTCCCTGGAGGCAGCTGGAGCACCTCCAGGTCCCGCTGCTCACGTGTTCACCAGCCAGATGCATGCAAGGTGAGCAGAACGGACAGTAGACTCCCAAACACATAGGGCAGGGGAGACCCGAGGGTTCCTCCAAGTCACCCCTTTCCCTTTACAGATGGGGAAACTGAGGCCCGGGCAGGACAGTGGGCCGAGCCACAATGGAGGTGCTGCCTTGGCCAGTCAGCAGGAGTGGGACATTTACGCCTGGTGGGGTGGCCCTCGCTAGCCTGGTCAGTGTCCCATCTGAGAGCTTCTCTGATGAGCCCCGAGAATCCCGGACACCGGCTAACCTGGAGTGTGTGGCTCTCATGGGCCCCGCCCCGTCAGTGGGACCTCTCTGAACTGGGGTGTGTATACCCCCCAGGCCCACATTTCCACAAAGGGGGTGGTGCCTAGCAGAAGGGGACATGGTCAAGGGCAGGAAGGAAGACGGCAGCCCCATTGCTGGAGCTGAGTGAGGACCCTGGCCGAACCCTCTCATTTTAGTGACGAGCGTCTGGGGCTCAGAGACAAGCGGCCTAGTCAAGGTTACTCAGGGAGCCGGGAAGGGCCAGAGTAGAAGGGGGCTCACTTCTCCCCCCCAGGCTCTTCCCCATGGTTGCAGTGACCCGCGGGAGCTGGTGGGAGAGGGCAGGGCTGGGAGGGCGGGGGAAGGGAGCGCCAGGAGGCAGACTCTGGAGGACTCGTGCCCTGCCGGGGACGGGCACCCACGCAGCCTGACTTCTTGCTTGGAGAGGGGGGACTGGCTGCTCGTGGGAGTTTGGGCTGGGGGTGTGTGATGAGATGGGAAAGGATGGCCGTTCTTCACCAGGAGCCTTCATCCTGCTTCTCTGCCCTCTGGGGCCCTGCTGGCCAGGCTTGGAGGGAGGCAGTGCGGCCACACGGGGGGGGGGGGGTGCCAGGACCCAGGCCCCAGCCCCACTTCCCAGTGATGTGGACCAAGGCCTCCCTCCCAGGTGGGCCCCACTTCCCTCCGTGGAACGGAGAGGCTTCTGGGCCGCCTCGTGCTCAGGGTCAGCTGGGTAGAAGTGGCCATGAAGCCAGGTGGGGGGGCGGCCTGGGTGGCTCACCTGGGAATGTCGCGGAGCGGTGGCGACAGGCAGGCCAGGTGGAAGGCCTGGGGGCAGCCGTCGCAGCAGATGAGCTCCCCGCCGTCCCGGCATACAGCACACTCATCCTCGTTCTTCTGACGCGGGCAAGACACACGCGTCCTCTGGAAGATCCCGGGACGGGGCAGCGCCCTCCCCGAGAGCCCCTCAGAATAGCTCCACTGCAGCGGTCCCCAGGGGCACCCAAGTGCCCTGCCTGCTCCCTGCTGGCCCATGCCTAAAATTCTGCCCCGGCTCGCCGCCCTCCCCGAAGATGCCCTCCATCTCTGAGGCTCTAGGCCCCACTGCACCATCCTGCCTGATGGTGCCACAGTCCCCTCCGGGGTGCCACCTCCTTCAGAAGCCCAGCAGACCGGGCAGCCCTGCACTGCAACGAGCATGCTCATTGTAATAATCCCCCCCCTGACCCTGCTATCAGGGGAGCCCTTGGGGGCAGGCAGGGATCCTGCTCATTCCTGGGTGCCTGGGGCCCAGTCCGCGCCTGGCATGGGAGAGCGGCGGTCAGATCTGGGATGGGTTCTGCCTTGTTCTCGGAGCCCAAGGATGTGCTTGATGCTCAGCTCCCTGGCTCCCAGCAGGGGCCACCTCCCCACCCGTCGGCCCCTGGTGAGACAAGGGGCAGCTGGTGCCTCGAGCAGACCTGTGGTGTTTGAAGCCTGGTAGGACTCACTTTCTCTGACTTATTTGAATTTTTACAGTTGTGTTATCAGAAAAAATCGTATTAAACCAAAACTCTACTCTGTGAACGGGAGCTCAGGCCTCTGTCCTCCTCACCCGAGTGAGTGGCCTAGCTGAGGGGCAGAGCGGCAGAAGGCCGCCCTTGGGATGGTGGGGAGGGAGGAGTTCCACTCGTGGTCCGGGCATTACCTGGTGCAGCTGGGGCTCGCTGGGGAGGGCAGGAGGGGCCTGCACCCTGCCCTGCTGGCCTGTTCTCAGCTCACCTGCACCCTGCTGCGGGGGAGAGGGGGGTCATCAGAGTGAGGAGCCCCCTCATGCAGGCCCGGTCCCAGATGAGCTCTGTGGGCGCTGGGCGAGGGGTGTCAAGGGCGGTGCTTACAGGGACAGAAGCCTGGGTCCCCTTGGCTCGGACCAGGGTCTTCAGGCTGCTGCTCCGGGTCTTGTTCTTCCCCCCACTGGGGTCTTCGAACTTGCTGGGAGCATAAAACTCCCCCCCAACCTGGAGGCACTTCTTGGAGCCACCTGGGAGGAGAGGCTGACTGGTCCCCGCTCAGCTGCACTCCTGGCCTGGGCGCCGTGGGTAGGCGGGTGCAGAGGCTGGGCGCTCTGCAGCTTTCTCCTGCTTCTCCCCCACTGCACTCAGCCCCGCTCAGCTCTGCGACCAGGGTCCTGGGCACAGGAGGGGTCTTCTGCGGGGACTGTACTGGGTGAAGCGTGTCCACCAAATTTGCATCCACCTGGAATCTCAGAGTGCAGACTTACTGGGGAGTAGGGTCTTTATAGGTGGGATTAGTTAAGATGGGCTCCCGAGGGACACTGGGTCCAATGACGGGTGTCCCCAAGAAGAGCAGAGAGGACACAGACACAGGGAGGAGACCCTGTGACTTGGAGGCAGAGGCTGCAGTGATGGGGCCGGGCACAAGGCCTGCCAGCAACCAGCCTCGAGCCTCCGGAGGGAGCAAGGCCCTGCCAACACCTTGATTTTGGAACTCCTGTTGTTCTAAGCTGCCCAGTTTGTGGCCATTCGTTATAACTGCCACAGCGAACTACTGCGGGGTCCTCAGGGCCCTCCCTGGGGGGTGAGACCAGGGCCTGCATTGGCCCCAAGGGCCAGCGTGGGCCCTGGCTGTCCTTGGCATCCCTGCCGGCAGGTGCCCAGCCCAGAGGGAAGGGAGGGAGGTGGTTTGGGGGGTGGCAGGTGCTAGAAGGCTGTCCTGCTGGAGAACCACGTGGGGGGGGGGGGTGAGCCCAAGACTCTAAGGGGCCCCTCTGAGCGCACAGAGGTGACCCAGGATGTGGCCCTGGACTGCCTGCCCTACAGAAGTCCAGGAGTCCCCCACCCCTGAGGGGAGCCCTCGGTGCCCATCCTGCCCCTCCAGAGGCAGCAGAGCCACGGTCCCACCTGCGCTGCGGCTGCCAGGTGCAAAGGATGGACGTGGATCCGGGGGCCTGTGTCCCCCCTCGCGGCCCCTCTGGTGGTGCCCTCTACCTGACTCAAACACCTGCTGGATGAGAATCCCCTCCACTGCCCCACAGGCTCCTGGGACATCCCCAGACGACACCGTCACGGCTCTCTGGACCGAAGTGGACATGGTCTGAATTCCTGGGAAAGGGAGCCCCAGATGAGGGGGTCATCAACTGGAAAGAGGACCACCTCTTTCCTGCAGGCAGTGGGGAGCGAGAGGTGCCTGGGCTGTGGAATCTTTCTTTCCTTCTGCCCAGGGCAGGCCTCGGAGGGGGCCCAGCCCCTCCATCACAGACAGACAGCCCATGTGTAACTGCGGAGAGGGGCCATGGGTACGTCTGGTATGCACATGTGTGCATGTGGTGTGTGTGTGTGTGTGGTGTGTGTGTGCGTGTGGTGTGTGTGTGTGCATGTGGTGTGTGTGGTGTGTGTGCATGTGTGGTGTGTGTGTG